AAAATGTATGATTACGATCAACTAAAAAGTCGGTCAATTATATTTTAGTAGTGTGTTTGTGTTTATACAGCAGGGTGTCATAATTATTGGCGCGTAGACAATTTTGCGTAAAACGATCATTACTTGACTTCTGAGGGTCAGTTTCCTATGGAGTCTTGATCATTCGAGAGATAATCCTTCATACTACAGTTCAGTTTAAAAACGAAGTCCGAAAGAAGTTAAATTTCGTCGATAATCACGACGAAAGAGACAAATTTGGATTATTTGACTTTAAGCTTTCGGCTGCTTCCCCTGAATTCCGGGATGAGTCCGCCTGACTATATTTTATTGCGTCAGTTAGAGGAGAAAGAGAGCTTTTAGTTTTATAAAATCTATAGTTTTCTATATGTTTCGCTATCGCATGAACTTGAAGAGCTGTGCACTTTAGTCTAAAGAATAATTTCAGACAAAAATTCACCGAAAAAAATTACACATAAATCCCTCCTTCGTAAATCTAACCAAGTATGGAATCGATCTTTTAAATAACGGCCTAAATTATTTTTTTTTGGAAAACAAATAGAATAATATATAACAATATAATTTACAACAATGTATATCGACCAGATTTGAATCAACAATTAATTGAGTCCATAGGACTCATAATTAGCTAAGCTTTGATACAAAGCATGCGAACTCAAAGTCGCTTTCACAACTTTTGTCAACTGAATTGACAGAAGATATGGTTCCTCTTATACACAGGAGAACCAGCTTCCTGATAATAAATGATAATTTACATCTTAAAAAATTGACAACATCTGAATAATTTTGTTGAGTTTTATAACTTATTTTCTCACACAGTAATCTAAAAAATGTTCTCGCTTCTGGCCCGCTGCCACCCGTGACAGAGTACACCAGTGGACAGAAACTCCCATGTTCGACATTCAATATTCTCTCGTTGTATAACCTCCGCTTCTGAGTCTCAGCTCTCTCGTATATTTTTTCTGTTGATGATGAGAGATAAGACTCAGAATTTGGATTGAGAAACTTTATGTCGAAATAGGAGTTCTGTCCTGGACGATAGAATCCCCTTGCACGGACGTCAGGGTGGGCATTGTCTCCTGTTAGTGTGGTACTTGTTGAGAAAGTCTCCCCGTCTAAAGTCTGTAGGTGGGGCTCACATTCTACGTCTTTGCAAACAGTTGATAGTTGTTTGGCTATGAAATCCCTAACTGAGTTGTGGCGGATGATGATGTAGCCTCCTCTTGGACAGTTTAGAGCATGGTTGATGTCCATTTTGGCCCCACAAACACAGGATTGAGGTAATCGTGGAAGGTCTTTGTTATATCGAAGAAGTAGACTATCCCTGAATTCCCCTTTGTTCAATGTGAACCCATAGGACAGTCAACCAACTTGAGCTTCCTTTTTCTCTTGCCTGATTAATTGCACGTGTAGATCTATCACTGCTTTCATTGCAGATTAACGTGTATTCTAATTCATGCTTTTCTGCCCTCACTTTTAGAATTTCTTTCAGCGACTCGGAATCATGATCTATATCCGTTTCAATTCCGGCCATGGCCTTTACTAAGGACTTAGTCACTTCCATGGATGTTTTATACTCCTCTGATGCCAACTTTGATAAAACTGGTATGCCTAGTCCCCCACATCGTACGGGTAGCGCAACCGTTCTTCTCTCTAATGGTGTAATAGGGCATCCAAATAAAGCCGGTATAAATTTCTCATCGATAAGCATGTCAAGAGGTTGCAAGAATTGATCTAGTCCTTCGATTGTTCTCATGAAGTATGTCATTTTGTGCCTAACCCCATGAGTGAATGCTGCATATGCTGCTTGTGGCTGGGATTGACCAAAATCTGATAATTTGTTGATCATTTTGGTCCATTCTTCAACTAAATTATTGATGTAAAGTCGTTTATATTCCTCTGACCCAATAACCGCTCCAAGATGTCTCTGTCCAGTTATTTTTATCTCGATCCCGCTTTCTCCAAATATTTCCATAGCCCTCTCCATGCTCGATGGATGTTTTATTATCAAACATGATTTGCTCGGGTTGACATGATATCCATATTTAATTCCCTCTGCCACTATCATATCCCACCAGGTTTTGAGATGTATCAGTGTTCCAACAGATGACGCGTCGTCGGCCAGCCAGACTTGCATAACTTTCCTTAGCTCTTTAAGTTTCTGTAAAATTATGGGTTTTGAGGTACATCAACACAAAATTCTGAAATTAAGAAAAATTTTAGACGATTGTCTACAGACTAGTTTTTGAATTTTGTAATTTCGATATTCAGAAGTAAAGTTATGACCCGTCGAAAAATATTGATTTCATCATAAAATTTCAAACACGCCAATAATTCTGACACCCTGCTGTACAAAGTGCTCTACTAAAATTACTATTCATAATCATAAAGCGGTACAAAGTAAACGACCAACGTAATCGTCCAACTTTAAATTTCATGTGTGATCAATCGTCAGGGACATAAATACAATAATAATTAGACATTGCAGACCGAACTACTTTCAGTCGATACGATTGAACCCTCATATATTTCTGTCAAAGGCCAAGTCTTTGGGTTTTTACCCTGCAGACACTTGAACATGGAATTCAAAGGTCTTTACAGGATACTGTTCGTAGTTCCCGTACAGTCCCCATTTTATGCCTTACTAGTCCGGTTTATCTTCATTGTCGGCCTTGATCGGCCCGTTAGAGCCGGCTTTGTCCAGTCATCGACCATGTTGATAATGCAGCTGTCGACTGGCGGGTTCACGCTCCATCTTGCTGCTAGAGATGGGGTAGATGATTGACCCATCTCCTCTAATATGCTGTATAGGGTCCTATCGATACTTTTGACCGACTCCTCTACAGTCGTTTTAAGTGCGGAAATTTCAGCATTGCTTTTCAAAAGGTTTTGCCGCAAGCCTCAGCACCTTGGAGTAAAACTAAGGGTAAATGAACGGTAAAGGTATATGCACGCTATTGAGCATACGATCAACGTGGCGAACCATAATGCCCACATGTCTACTACCACAGATACTGATAGAGCTTCCAATCTGCATCATTGGCATAATTCTGCGGAAGTAGTCCGGGAGCTAGGCTTCAACCGTCATCAATCGATGTTGTGAAAGGCATCGCAGGACAAGTTAACTGCGGAAGTAGTCCGGGAGTCCATGATCCAGTTGTCCACCATATTAATAACACAGGAATCCACTGGTGGATTAAGACTCCATCTAGCCGCTAGGGAGGGAGTGGACGATTGGCCCATCTCACCCAAAATAGAGCATCTTGTCGATGCTTTTGAGTTTTGACAATCTCCTCTACAGTCTTATTTAACTCCGCGATTTCAGTGTTGTTTTTTACCAAGTTTCTGCCGAGCCGCAGTATTTTGGCGTACAAGCCGATAAATAGTATCGAACTTATTGTCAGTGTAGCGAACCACAGTGCCAACAAGTCGAACGATTGAGATAGGCCTGTCATCGTACTACTACTATACGTCCACCATTTCAATAACGCAACTATCAACCGATGGATTTACACTTCATCTTGCTGCCAGGGATGGAGTGGATAATTTCATCGAAGATGCTGTACCTGTAGAGGGTCCTATCGATAATTTTGACCGAATCCTCCACAGGCACACGCACAGTCGTTTTAAGTGCCGCAATTTCTGCATTGCTCTTCAAGAGTTCTGTCGCAAGTCTCAGCACTTTGGTGTTATAAGCCATATATGCTATGCTATAGAGCAATTATTTCCAGGGTGGCGCGAACCATAAATATAATGCCCACGCCCCACATGTCCACTGCCACATACAATTATAAAACTTCTATCGTATTCATTATGAAGCTAAGATGTCGTTGAAGAATAAGTAGATTATTTAAGAATCTTTGAAGAATCGAGCATAAGTCAAAGTTGCATTAGAAAACTGATACCTTGCAACTTTTCCCGGGGTAGGTTAAGCAGCGCCCACGTGCAAAACGTGTATCGGACGTACGCGGAAGTCGCAACCTGGCCACTGGAGTTGTCGCCATGGTCACAGGGGGCAACAGAGCTGAGGAGCGTGCAAACTGATGACAGCATGACGGTCTGATACTCTTTAAATCTTTTCCGTACTGTAGTTCAGAGATGAAACATACTAATAATGAATGCTGCTTTAACTAGAATCAGGAACAATGTTATAGTTCTAGTTATACTGACGTATAGATACAGTCCTTGTCCCGTGTACTAACTTAGGTGTGTGACCGACTCTCCGACGCTTTTTGACAAGCCCAAAAGGACTGGCTAGTGAGTGAGAGCCGACGCCCGACACAACTGCTACTAGGTACCACTACCAAACAAAAAAAACGTGTTTAACTGAAAATTAGTGCTTCCCTGAGTCTTGTTATTTAGGATGCAGAGTTTTGCTCCTTTATCAAATTTGTTAGATGTTCGTAACTTCAAATTGTCAAAGATCACTGGGCGCGGCCACCGAGAGTGGAGTCGTAGAGTATTGACATCGTCGATCAAGATAATTTGTATCTCAAACTACAAATGCAGCTCCTAATTTGATGTTCAGGTATCTCTTTTAATTATGACCAGTAGTGTCGGATGATATTATCGATCATGCAGATTATGCATTATGGATTAATCCAGGGTAGGGTGACCAGTGCAGTCATCTAACATCTTGCTTCTGTCTGTCATCTTATCATAAAGTGTCAATTTCACAGAATAAAACTACTCAAATAAATCCTTCAGCTGAGCGGTAACTTGTGATCGACAGTCTAATCAATATTTATATAGATACTATAAACTATTAGCTAGTCCAAGTTCCAGCCAAGCCAGGCCGGCGTGTCAGTGGTCAGGTAGCGGCATGTATACAAACTATATACAGGAGGCCGAGCGCGCGCAGCACTAGGCTGTCAAAATTTCGCGCGGAAATTAAGATCATTTTCACGCAACTTTGAGAGTAGGCGTTCGCGCCTTCCATGACCTGCTAGATGGACAGTCATTTACCAAATGAAACGGTGATCTCAAACTCTAGTAATATAAATAACTTATTGATGTTCACAAACTTTAATGAGATCTCATATGAAATATAAATCAAATATATGCAACCGCTTCTGTAAATAAAAAATACAACAACAAATGAAGAGATCCTCGAAAAAAAAGTAAACAAACTTTCACGAATAGAAAACTTAGAATATCTTTTCTCTTTTTCATAAAAAAACGGCAAGAAAAAACCATAAAAACTGCCATGAAGAAAAAATTTTAGATTAAACCTTTAACAGCCGTGGTTAAGTATCACATGATCATGATAACAGTAACAATTTCCACAATCAATTATCCAATTACAGTATCAATTTCCACTGTCCGACTAGTCTATCAGCACAATAACCAGTGGTGCAGTCGACCCACCCAGAACTGTCCCATCTAGCTGATCTCTAAATTCTTTGCTCCCTTTTGTGTCTGTGATTGCGATTATCATTTCCTCTACATGCTCCAGTTCGTGCACCTGTCAAAATTAAATGGTGTTTTAATGGGGTAATCAAAATTAAATGGGGTTTGTTCAGAATTGACGTTCATTCATCAATCGAATTCGAGGCAATAGGTTGGATACCAATAGGATTCCAGAGGAAATGTAAAATCTGCGCGTCAAATATTAGAAGTTTCTACATATGTTCAAATCTCCGACAATTTTAAGTCAGCTATTGTAAACAAGGATTAAGGGGGAGTAAGTAGAAACACGAAATGATCACCTGTTCAACATGCTTTAGCAGTAGAGTATTGACATCTTCTCTAGTGGTTGGGGTTGTGGGAACATTCTTTATAAATATTTTAGTTTGGTTCAATGGTACTCCGTGCTCCTTTAAACCTGAGCAATCAATTAATGAATTAGGTCCAATTTGAACTGCTAATTTGATCCAATGGAGTAGCGATATGTTTAGATGAGTACTAGCTTATTCTCCAGAAAAACGATAAAACCACAAAATCCCGTAACACTGAAACCCTCACAAACCTTTGATAATATCCTTATCTTGGTCAGTAAGCAGGGCTCTGTTCCTAGCAGCTCTAGAGTGTGGTGTAATGGGTGTGTTGTGGGGTCGGCGGGGTGTGGTGACCGTTTCTTTGCTGCCTGAAATAGTTAGAGTAATATTCTGATCGGAAAATAATTTATTAGTCGCATTGTTATAATATAATGTTTCTGAGGCAAACAGTTTAGTGTTTCCGTTTCTAATTCCTTATCCTGATAAGAGCCTTTTCCTTGTCGTATTAAACGGGAACGCTACAAATTTTGCTCTGAAACATTTAGAGTTTTAATTTAATGACTGTTACCAATCTCTTCCTCTTTAACCGAAATGGGTGTTGGCCCTGTCGCCACAATTATAAATACATACATAGGTTCAAATCATAAACTCAAATCATAAACTCAAATCATAAACTCAAATCATAGACTCAAATCTTTATTGGTTTACCAGTTTTGCGTTTTCTAGTTTTCTGGCTTAAAACGTTTAACGTAGACTTCAAAATCACTTCCTCTAAAGTCTCAACTTCCAACGATATAATAAAGGTCCAACATCCCCCTAGAGATCTTCCTATTTACCTGATATAGCAGACTTAGAAGATCTTGGCTCGTTCTGAATCTGTAACGATTGCGGAGGAATAGCGGAGGCTTCAGGTGGAACAGGCATACTGGGAGGACGAGGAGGTCTCGTCATTGGCTGTTTACCCCGAGAGGAGGAGGAGGCGATGTTAGACCCCCTCACCCCGCTACCTCCTGGAGAGGAGGGTATTTGGGGATCTGGAACTGTAGATGAGGTTCGAGGAGGCCGTGTATGTTCGTCGGGGATAGTAGTTGAGGTTTGGTGAGGTGTGAAGGAGTTTGGAGGGGGAGGAGTGGAGGTTGTTTCAGGAGCTGATTGGCTGGTGGCCCCCACGTGATCAGCGAA